TGATAAATGAGGGTTTATTCGGAATATTTACAAAGTAGATATGTATCTGACGAGATGCGTACTCGGTATATGGTTTGTCGTCAGTTTTAATTTTATCATATAAGAATTCTGCAGAGAATCTTGAAGACATTTGTTCTAACATTTGAAATCTCGGTCGTGGCTGAAACAAGTGACAAATCAAATTATCCTCCAGTTAAGTTTATATATTGCAAACAACGTTTGGCAGGACATTCGAATCACCAAAATTGTCTACCCAGGTGTTTTAAACTATCAGAAGAGATGCTGCATGGCCACTATGAAAGTCATTTGATGCCAAAATATTTTGTATTCATCACAGTTGTGACTTGTGAAGCTTGAATGACTTTTGAGCAAGTTGGAACATAAGCAGCAGAATGTTGGCCTCCACCAATAAAGTGCTTGAATAGCAATTTGTAAAACATATACTGCCATATGGTCCACATGACTTAACTTTGTTATTTCTGCCTTTTTAAATTCAATCAGGAGATTATTTATATATTTGACATGGATGCTTATTGATGATGTGAGAAGTGAACATAAAAAAGCTTCCTGAATGCTTTTGTGAATTGGATTGGTGTTGGCTTGGCACAGTTTCCCCCTGTCAAATGTTTTAAAAAAGTTTTCTGGTGTATCTGTGTTTCACCTTTTGGTAAACATTTACTGTGTAAAGTATTACGATTTAAATAATGGCATTAAGAGTAACTATAACTGGTTTTTGTCAGAATAAGTTCTGTTTGTGACATGATTACTTACAATAAAAATTTTAATTTACTGAATGAAGTTTATGGATTTTACAAGCAACAACAAACAACATTTGTATACTGGCCACTATTAATCCCCGCCAGGGGGGTTGACCGGTCCATGAATTTTTCTACGCCAAACGTCTCTATCTCTCGCCATATCTCTCGTTATGGATTTTAGCAAAAATTAAATTTTCGAGACCTTTGTTGCAATAATTTCTCTCTGCTGGTTGATTAATGCGGTGAATCAAACATAATTCTAATCATTTTTCACATACAATTGTTGGTCACAACTCACAAGTGAAGTTTAACAAAAGAGGTAAGCTGTAGGAGCTTGACAATATGTTTGACATAATGGTAAAGTTGTTAATTTAATTGTCACAATTTATCAATAACTTCATTCTTTAAAAAATTGTAATTTCATATATTGCTTATTAAAAATAAGACAACAAAAAACATCTTTATTTGTAAGTTAATACAAATTTGACAGACATGATAGCCACAGGAACTCAATATACAATTACAAATAAAAACTTTCAATTACAATTATGCAGACAAGCTACATTGCAAATAAAAAGCCCCGATTCAAGAATCAAATATAAATTAGTTTAGTCCAAATTTTATACCAATAACGTCTTCATCTGAAGAACGTTCTTTACACAGTAGGTCGTTTTATCGCTTCTATCAAATCCGTTGACCATTCTAATAGGAAACTCTTTACTAGAAAATACAGAAATGGAATCACACTAAATATATTTATTACTTTTGTCCTAAATTATAAATTCTTAGGGCAACTGCCGTTCAATATAAGAGACGTTCTAAACATGGATCTCGCATACAATTCAAGGCAAGAAACTATAAAACCCGTAAAATTATATTTGAAGAACGTATTTTACAACAAAACTGTTTCTCACCTCATATGCTTGGTATCCTATCCGATGGCATTAAAAATTTTGTCCATAAGTGAATTTAAATTCGTCAAATTTTCGAAAAACAACTCTTCATAATATTAATCTATATAAATTCTGGCCAGTTTATCTGGCTGGAGTAATGGCGGACGCAAAAGATGCGCACTTAAGAACTGGGTACAAGTAGGGGACAGATTTTTCGCTGAGTGGCGCTTCTGTATGTATCTATTCTGTGGTGAGAGCTTCAACAGTCGATACATGGCCAATATCCTATCCACTCTTGCGTGTCCAAACACGTGTACGATGGACGAGGAGAGCCAATACAAATTAATTAATGTATTTATTGTAGAAACTAAAGATCAATGAACAAGAATTGTTTGCGTTTGTCAATTCTTTGAAGGTTTCACAAAAAAATTACCTGCTCATCGCTTTTGAGTTATGTAATAGTATGTATATATATCACGTGATTCGAGAAAAAGCTCATAAATGGTAACAGTGACTGTGTTAAAGTGGAACCCATTTGAGCTCAATAAAATCAATCAATCAAGTAAAGAGAAATTTCAAATCAATCATCAATACATGTTACCTGAAAAACAACAAATATCTGTTTTGCACTTGTTATTTTATAAAAGGGAAAAAGATTTTTGACTTCCTGTCTCGAATTTGTACTCATCTGCTTTCAAGTTCCAACAAATATATCCTCGGTTTGTATAAACATATGCAAAGATAAAAGTTCTTTTTGCCATTGTTTTTCTTCCTTTTGTCTCTACACTACAGCTGTCATAACCTGTGTCATAATGTTGCTATTATGTAAATAGTCTCATCATAATATGAGAGATGTGAAATGAACAATTTTCATGTGGTCATGATGCACCAATGATTGCTTACCATGCTTTGATGATGGCAAAAGATTCCTGGTTTCAATTGTGTTCTTGTTCTATGTTTCATGTTGGAGATAGTGACAGTACAGGAATATTGGCTGCAGCTTAGTGGGGTGGTATAAATGGTATGAAAGGTGTAACCTTGGAAATTATCAGAACTTAGAATAAGGTCATAGGCTTATGAAGCTAGGTAAAAAATTACTGAATGTATCAAAGAATATAAAAAAATAACAGGATAGTATTATTTTAACAAAATTTATTTCATAAACATCTTTCATTCCAATATACTTCAGTATGTTTGTGAATCATACAATAAAAATTACTACTTGGTTATAACATAAAAACAAATTACTTTAAATATAAAGTCTAAAGGAGAATGTCAGATTCAGGGCATGTGCAGTTCTAAGTTCTACTTAGGATGATTCTTGGGCTGTAGAGTAAGTATATTGACTAGATATCAGTGAAACTATACATAGACAAGGATCATTGCATCTTTAGGTTCATTTTACCTCCTAACGTGGAAACTGAAATTGTTATATTCAGCACCAAAAATACACTTTAAGGGAGGGGAGGGGAGTTGACTTGGTGAGTTGACCTTTCTCCTTCGGACTATATGTTAAGAAAGGCACTGTGATTTAATCAAAAGGTATTTGAAAAATTCAGTTTTACCAAACACCAATTAAAGATTATTATAATGTCAAAGACACGGCGACATCAATATGATTTAAACATAGCAATTCTAAAGATTGTTTATAGATTAAGATATACAATACACAAAATTTGGAAGGCACACATTCTTCGAAACACTAAGCTACCAATGTGTAACTGTAAATCTTTGTTGTATTCCCCAGTTTCATAATACACTACATCAACATTGTTTAACAGACTTAGCGAAATCAACCTGACTAAATCCTAACGTTTTTTTCCAAATTTCCTTAACTTTTTGGGGAATCTCAAAGCTTTGTCGTAATTTCCAGTTTTTTAAAACACCAAACCAAGATTGTTTAAAGACAAGGCGACACTAACATCATTTGGACCTAACAAATGTTTTTTAATTTCCAGAGCTTTTTCGTAAAAATTTATAGCTTTGTCGTACTTTCCTGTTTTAGAATACACAACACCAAGATTGTTTAAAGACGCAGCGAGATCAACATGATTTGGACCTAACGATTGCTTTCGAATTTCCAGAGCTCTTTTGTGAAACTCTATAGCTTTGTCGTAGCTTCCAGTTATTCTAAGCACAATGCCAAGATTGTTTAAAGACACAGCGACATCAACATGATTAGGACCTAACGATTGTTGTCGAATTTCCAGAGCTTTTTCGTGAAACTCCATAGCTTTGTCGTAGTTTCCAGTTTTATTATACACTTTACCAAGATAGTTTAAAGACGCAGCGACATCAACATGATTTGGACCTAACGATTGTTTTCGAATTTCCAGAGCTTTTTCGTGAACCTCCATAGTTTTGTCGTAGTTTCCAGTTTCATAATACACATTACCAAGATTGTTTAAAGACATAGCGACATCAACATGAGTTGGACCTAACGATTGCTGTCGAATTTCCAGAGCTTTTTCGTGAAGCTCTATAGCTTTGTCGTAGTTTCCAGTGTTACAATACACATTACCAAGACTGTTTAAAGACGCAGAGACATTAATATGATTTGGACCTAACGATTGTTTTTTAATTTCCAGAGCTTTTTCGTGAAACTCAATAGCTTTGTCGTAATTTCCAGTTTCATAATACACCGCACCAAGATTGCTTAAAGACTCAGCAACATCAACGTGATTTAGAATTAACGAATGTTGTTGAAGTTCCAGAGCTTTTTCATAAAACTCTTTAGTTTTGTCGTAGTTTCCACTTTCATGTAACACATTAGCAAGTTTGTTTAAAGACGCAGCAACATCATCATGATTTGGACCTAAAGATTGTTTTTCAATTTCCAGGGCTTTTTCGTAAAACTCTTTAGCTTTGTTGTAGTTTCCAGTTTCATCATACACCAAACGAAGATTGCTCAAAGACATAGCGAGATCAACATGATTTGGACCTAACGATTGTTGTCGAATTTCCAAAGCTTTTTAGTGATCCTCCATAGCTTTGTCGTGGTTTTCAGTTTTTTCAATCACCACACCAATATTATTTAAAGACGCAGCAACGTCAACATGATTTGGACCTAACGATTGTTGTCGAATTCTTAAGCTTTATTAATATACTCTCTAACTTTGTAGTAGTTTTTAGTTTTAGAATACACTGCAGCAAGATTGTTTAAAGACATAGCGACATCAACATGATTTGGACCTAACGATTGTTTTTTAATTTTCAGAGCTTTTTCGTGAAGCTCTATAGCTTTGTCGTATTTTCCAGTTTGACAATAAACATTACCAATATTGTTTAAAGACGCAGCAACGTCAACATGATTTGGACCTAACGATTGTTTTTGAATTTCTAGAGCTTTTTAGTGATCCTCCATAGCTTTGTCGTGGTTTTCAGTTTTTTCAATCACCACACCAATATTATTTAAAGACGCAGCAACGTCAACATGATTTGGACCTAACGATTGTTGTCGAATTTCTTAAGCTTTATTAATATACTCTCTAACTTTGTAGTAGTTTTTAGTTTTAGAATACACTGCAGCAAGATTGTTTAAAGACATAGCGACATCAACATGATTTGGACCTAACGATTGTTTTTTAATTTTCAGAGCTTTTTCGTGAAGCTCTATAGCTTTGTCGTATTTTCCAGTTTGACAATAAACATTACCAAGATTGTTTAAAGACGAAGCGACATCAGCATGATTTTGACCTAACGATTGTTTTCGAAATTCCAGAGCTTGTTCGTGAACCTCTATAGCTTTGTCATAGTTTCCAGTTTTATTATACACAATACCAAGATTGTTTAAAGACATAGCGACATCAACATGATTTGGACTTAACGATTGTTGTCGAATTTCCAAAGCTTTTTCGTGAAGCTCTATAGCTTTGTCGTAGTTTTCAGTTTTTTCAATCACCACACCAAGATTGTTTAGAGACGCAGCAACATCAACATGATTTGGACTTAACGATTGTTGTCGAATTTCCAAAGCTTTTTCGTGAACCTCCGTAGCTTTGTCGTGGTTTTCAGTTTTTTCAATCACCACACCAAGATTGTTTAGAGACGCAGCAACATCAACATGATTTGGACCTAACGATTGTTTCGAATTTCCAAAGCTTTTTCGTGAACCTCCATAGCTTTGTCGTGGTTTTCAGTTTTTTCAATCACCACACCAAGATTGTTTAGAGACGCAGCAACATCAACATGATTTGGACTTAACGATTGTTGTCGAATTTCCAAAGCTTTTTCGTGAACCTCCATAGCTTTGTCGTGGTTTCCAGTTTTTTCAATCACCACACCAATATTGTTTAGAAACGCAGCAACATCAACATGGTTTGGACCTAAAGATTGTTGTCGAATTTCTAAAGCTTTTTTGTGATCCTCCATAGCTTTGTCGTGGTTTTCAGTTTTTTCAATCACCACACCAATATTATTTAAAGACGCAGCAACGTCAACATGATTTGGACCTAATGATTGTTTTCGAATTTCCTGAGCTTTATTAACATACTCTATAACTTTGTAGTAGTTTTTAGTTTTAGAATACACTGCAGCAAGATTGTTTAAAGACTCAGCAACATCAACATGATTTGGACCTAACGACTGTTGTCGAATTTTCAGAGCTTTTTCGTGAAGATCTATAGCTTTGTCGTATTTTTCAGTTTGACAATAAACATTACCAAGATTGTTTAAAGACGAAGCGACATCAACATGATTTTGACCTAGCGATTGTTTTCGAAATTCCAGAGCTTGTTCGTGAACCTCTACAGCTTTGTCGTAGTTTCCAGTTTCATAATACACAATACCAAGATTGTTTAAAGACATAGCGACATCAACATGATTTGGACCTAACGATTGTTGTCGAATTTCCATAGCTTTTTTGTGAAGCTCTATAGCTTTGTCGTAGTTTCCAGTGTCACAATACACATTACCAAGACTGTTTAAAGACGCAGCGACAATAACATGATTTGGACCTAACGATTGTTTTTTAATTTCCAGAGCTTTTTTGTGAAACTCAATAGCTTTGTCGTAATTTTCAGTTTCAGAATACACCGCACCAAGATTTCTTAAAGACATAGCAACATCAACATGATTTGGACCTAAGGATTGTTTTCGAATTTCCAGAGCTTTTTCGTAAAACTGTATAGCTTTGTCGTAGTTTCCAGTTTTATGTAACACAGTACCAAGATTGTTTAAAGACGCAGCGAAATCAATATGATTTGGACCTAACGATAGTTTTTTAATTTCCAGAGCTTTTTCGTAAAACTCTATGGCTTTGCTGTGGTTTCCAGTTTTTTCAAACAGCACACCAATATTGTTTAAAGTCGCAGCAACATCAACATGATTTGGACCTAAAGATTGTTGTCGAATTTCCAGAGCTTTTTCGTAAACCTCTTTAGCTTTGTCGTAGTTTCCAGTTTCATGTAACACTGTACCAAGATTGTTTAAAGACGTGGCGAAATCAATATGATTTGGACCTAGCGATTGTTTTTTAATTTCCAGAGCTTTCTCGTAAAACTGTATAGCTTTGTCGTAGTTTCTAGTATCATAATACACGTTAGCAAGATTGTGTAAAGTCAAAGCGACATAAACATGATTTGGACCTAACGATCGTTTTTCAATTTCTAGAGCTTTTTTGTGATACTCTATAGCTTTGTCGTAGTTTCCAGTTTTTTCAAACTGCACACCAATATTGTTTAAAGACGCAACATTATCAACATGATTTGGACCTAACGAGTGTTTTCGAATTTCCAGAGCTTTTTCGTGAAACTCTATGGCTTTGTCGTAATTTCCAGTTTTAGAATACACCGTACCAAGATTGTTTAAAGACGCAGCGACATGAGCATGATTTGGACCTAACAATTGTTTTTGTATTTCCAAAGCTTTTTCGTGAAACGCAATAGCTTTGTCATAATTTCCAGTTTCAGAATACACCGTACCAAGATTGTTTAAAGACATAGCGACATCAAGATGATTTGGACCTAACGATTGTTTTCGAATTTCCAGAACTTTTTCATGATAATTTCTAGCTTTGCTATACTTCCCAGTGTCATGGCATAAAGCACCGAGGATATCAAAATACCAAGCTTTGTCAATACTAGATTCTACTGATTTAAATTTATCCAATAGTTCAAGAGCAAGATCGTATTTTCCAAAATGTCTTAATCTGTCAACAAAATATTGGAAAACTTGTAAAGTGTTCATGTTGATTTTTGACTTGTTGGTCTTTAATAATTGAACAATTTTTTCAAGATGTGGCATTAATTTTATTTCGTCGTCTCTTTCTTCAAACATGTAAAGTGCTTTAGATATTTGATCAACGTTAGTTTCCATTTCATGTTCTTCATTTGAATGTTCAGATTGATAAACAACAATTGCTTTGTGAACAATGCGATGTAGACTAATGTCATTATTTTCTGAATGCAAGAACAACGAGCATTCGTCTAAACAAAGACATATATCTTCCTCAGCCCTTTTGGGATCATTTTTTTGAACATAATAAACCATAATTTCTCGTGGTAAAGGATCAAATGATATCATAGAAAAAAAGCTAATAGCCAGTGCCAATATTGACGACTCTTCTGCACTTTGTTTGACAGCTAAAAGTGAAGCTTGTAACATACTTCTAGGATATACAGAGTTAAATTTAACAAAAATGGCGTCCATGTTTTCTTCTTCTTCTGAAGATATTTTCTTTAAATATTGTCTCCAAGTAAATGAGCAGTCTGCTTTGTTTACACGACTGACATAATAACCAGTAGCAGCCAAAGCCAGCGGTTGACGATCTAATGCGTGCGATACTTCATTCAACAATTGATCATCAGCATTTTCATCTTTAGTGTAAGAATTCAACAATTGACAACATTCTCTGGCATTCATTCCACTACTGATAGAAATATGTTTGCTGGACAATTCATCGTGAGGTACGGCATCTGTATTCTGAACAGTTATTATTAGTTGTCCATTTTTCCACATGTGATCACCTACTTGTGGTAGTAACGAAGAAATTTCGCTCAGTTGCCCAACGTTGTCGACAATAATCAACCATTTTTGCCAGAATTTCAATCGAGCAGACACTAACGAGCGAAGGAAATTGATTTTCTCTTTGGCGGAAGAATTTTCATCTTTGAATTTTTCAACCATATACTTGTTACAGTTTAAGCGGTCGCCAAGGTCACAGTAAGATTTTAAAAGAGATTCCACATTCTTCCCATCGAGAGTCATTACAAACGAAGTTTTATTTTTCCAATCACACGATATTTTTTCACAAACCTGTCTCGCCAGTTGAGATTTACCACTGCCAGGATTACCAGTGATGTAGAAATATGTCAGTTCGTTATTGTTGTCATTCCTTAATTTTTCAAGATCGTTTATGATTTTATCTTGTAATTCAGTGCGTTCAACAAAAAAATGATTAGGTTTTGAAGGAAGAACTTGGAACGAATTAAAACTGTTACGATGATTTTTTATTTCAATGATTTCATCGAGAGAAAATTTCAAATCTTGAAATGATTTTTCAATGATACTGACTTTATCATCAAAATCGTCATCTGAGCATTCCGCTTTATACCAATGTGCGTAATTGTTTCTTTCACCTCGAAGTGCATGAAGAGCATCCTTTGTGTTTTTATCAAGATGATTTCCAATTGAATTTGAAAAAATTATTGCATCAAATAATGTTGTGCAGTCCCACTTACTGGTGTTTCCCTCCTGATATTTTAATTGTAGGTTTTTATCCAACCTCCTACCTGATTCTAATTTGTAAAATTTTTTGCCACTTTTTTTGGTATCATCCCATTCTCCATGTGTTGATGTGTAACGAGAGTTCCATTCTTCGATGAAAAATTGGGCAAGTTCCGTTTGTATCACATTAATTACTTTTCTGATGTAAAATAGATTTCTGCTTTCTCTTGATTCCATCTAAAAAAGAATATGATGTATCAAGAAGTCAGTTAAAATCAATCAATTTCAAAAGATCGACCTACAACATGTATCACTCTTCGTTAAAGTCGAGGATTTACATGATGAAATCAAATTTATTTGTTCATTTATATATTCAACTTCTTAAAATACTTGTTATTAATACAAATTGAGACATAGACAACTACAAATGGCAGAGATAATGCTACAGATTTTGCCAATTACAGCAGCTTTTCAACAAAACATTAAAAACAACATGTGACTTGTTACAAGACAGACATTGCTAGTGCTAGATTTTTATGTCCTTGGATCGTCAATGTCAAATATTTTTTGTAATGGTAAAAATCCAAGTTAGAAATGCTGGAGACACCTCTGTATTCGACAGTATTTCTATACACCAGTTGATTGTTACTTGACACGTTAATTCACACTTTAACTTACATACCTTAACTGAGATGTGTGGCATTCACAATTAGACTATTTAATTTAACGTGTTTTGTAGGAAATAAAACAGCAAAGAAAAAGCGTTTCATCTCAAAATCATCAATATGTCTAATATGTCAGAATGTTGATCAAATGAGGAATTAGTAAAGAAAAAATCGATATTGTGAGCGAAAGCAATGAGGAAATTGCGGAAGAAGAATTAGGAAAAGAAATTGAAGATGCCGGTGAGATACGGCTGAATTCGAGCAAGCACTTTTGGATGTGAACGAAATCGTCAAGGTGTCGAATGTCCCAGTTGAAACGGCAACAACGACATTAAATGGCACGCTGAACAGCAGTTTGAGTAGTGAGACGCGCAGAGTTATAAGAATAAAACTCCCAAAGTTGGAAGTAAAGAAATTTAGCGGATGGCTGCAAGAATGGCAAGAGTTTTGGCATTCGTTTGATAGTGCGGTGAATAATAATGACGGATTGGCTGACGTAGACAAGTTTGCGTATTTAAGGAGTCTTTTACTCGAACCTGCAAGATCGACAATATCAGAATTTGCCCTGACTTCAGCGAACTATCACGAAGCTGTAGATTTGTTGAAACAAAGATACAGGAAAAAGAACGTGATCAAGAAAGCGCATATCCAGGAGTTAATGAACGCAAAACCCATAACGGACGAAAGAGACATGGAAAAGCTTCGGCGGTTATACGACACCTGTGAGACAAACTGCCGGGGATTAAAGGCCTTACGAGTGGACGAAGCCGTATACTCTTCAATCGTAATACCGGAAGACATTGCGAAGTTGCTGGTTGAATTTCGATTGACAATAACAAGAGGATTCGATTTCACGGAATGGTCAATGAAAGATGCGTTGAACGCAATTCTTTAAGAGTTGGGAGCTTCGAGAAGCTCACACACCGATCGGCGAGAAAACCAAGAGACAGGATGGGAAGAAACAACGAGAAACGTCGCGACAAAAACATATGGGGTCAGCATCAGCACTGCACGCGAAGCACGGGAGATGCAACGAAGGGTAAAGCGAAAAGAAAATGCGTTTATTGTCTCGGGGAACACAATCCAGAGGAATGTAAGAAAATTACCATGGTAAACGAGGGAAAACAACTCATTTGTAAGTACGGAAGATGTTTTTGTGGAGCAATTATAGAATACCCGTCCAATTTCTAAAGGCACCCTTTTAATTCTGCGGATACGTGGATGCGCAGTGACGAGTTTAAAGAACGAGGCATAAGATAAGAGGACTAGTTTAAAGAACGAGGCATAAGATAAGAGGACTAGTACCTATATAAAGAAAGTTAGTTGAAGCTATGTTTTTTAGTGGATACGTGGATACGCAGTGACGAGTTTAAAGAACGAGGCATAAGATAAGAGGACTATTACCTATATAAAGAAAGATAGTTGAAGCTATGTTTTTTAGTGGATACGCGGATACGTGGATACGCAGTGACGAGTTTAAAGAACGAGGCATAAGATAAGAGGACTAGTACCTATATAAAGAAAGTTAGTTGAAGCTATGTTTTTTAGTGGATACGCGGATACGTGGATACACAGTGACGAGTTTAAAGAGCGAGGCATAAGATAATAAAACTAGTACCTATATAAAGAAAGTTAGTTGAAGCTATATTTTTTAAAGATTGATTCTAAAAAGCAATTACAAACATATTTGCAAAGAAAATGATTAAGAATATATAATGGCACTTGTTAGGAATACGAATTTATAAAATTGTCATAAATGTAATGCGAATGAAAACGCGAACATTATGATAAGTTCAAATATTAAGTTCAAATATTCTTGACTGACCAGTTGTTGATTACTATCAACTGCCGA